AATATACTTTCAAACCTACACTTATACACACACACACACACTCCTTACACAAGCCACATTTTTTTCAAAACTTTCTTGGTTGTGTTTATTTGTTTTTTAATATGAACTTTTTCCTTTTTAAGATGGAGTTTCACTCGTCACCCAGGCTGGAATGCAATGGCACAATTCTGCTCACTACAACCTCCGCCTCCTGGGTTCAAGTGAGTCTTTGGCCTCAGCCTCCCAAGCAGCTGGGATTACAGGGTCCTACCACCACACCTGGCTAATTTTTATATTTTTTGTAGAGACGGGATTTCACCATGTTGGCCAGTCCATATGAACTTTTTAATGAATCTTGAATTTTTTAGTCTTATTCATCCCCAAAGCTACCAATTATATCTCAAGAAGATTACATCAAATTTATACATTAATGTGGGGTTTTAGACATCTTAAATTTGAGTCTTTTGATCTATAACTGTAACATACTTTTCCATATTTCAACTCAGCTTTTCCTTTAACAAAATTTACATGAATCTTACACATTTCTTATGATGTTTCTAACTAGGTATTTTATATGTGTTGTATTATTGTTATTAGAATAATTACATTTTATATCTGGTTATTATCAATTTATAAGAAAACTTTGTTTCTGTTATTCTCTTAATGATTTTAAAATTGTAGATTCTTTAGGATCAGTAATCAAATCACCATCAAAGAGTAATCTGGCTTATGTTTCTTATTTATTTTTCAAATCTGATTGCATAGGCTAAACATTCCAGAAAAATGTTAAATGGTACAGATGCTAAGGAGGATTCTTCTTCTGATCCTGATTTTGACAAGCATTCTTCTAGTGGTAACTATTAAGTATCATATAAATCATTTAAAATAAATACTGCATAACATACTGATAAGGACTTACTTTTCTACCCTAAGTTTTGTAAAGGTCTTTTTTTAAAAGAGATGTTGATTTTTATAAAATTCCTTTTCAGCATCTGGCTCTTTTTCTCCTTTCAATTATTAATATGATTAATTACATTGATATATTTTCTCATATCAAGTCATCTCTGGATCTCTGGAAGTTATTGGTTAATCATATATTGTTCTTTTAATATAATGCTGGATTTGATTTGCTAGTATTTTATTTAAGAATTCTGCATCTGTGTTTGTAAGGGAAATTAGCTGATGGCATTAGAGTTTTGATACTTTGTTAGGCTTTGGTATTAATGTTACATTAGCTTCATAAAATGATTTAGGAAGCTAAATCTAATATCATGATTTTAATAAAGCATATTCTTCCAGGGTAATTGCAAACACGGCTCATTATCAGTAAATGATGAACTATTTCATTTACATAAGTGAAATTCCATAAAACAAAGTTTCCCCAGCAAGGTTAGGCAATAAATTATCATACAGGTGATGGTAAAGACTTTGTGTATAGCCAACACAGGGATTTACAGGTGTATTCTACCATTTAAAAATGAGTATTGAATTCTAATACTCAAGTTGATATAATTTGCAGGAATAGTATGCTTAGAAGGGTCATTGTGGTATGACCCTTTAAAACAGAAAAGGTTCACTAAAAGTATCAAAGTGGAAGTCACTATGAAGCAAAGTGGTATAATATAAATAAGCAAATTAAATTAAATTCAGCAACTATTTATTGAGTACAGTTGTTTTTCCAAATATGTATATACCTGGTATACCAAATACCAGATATTATCTTAAATGCTGTAAAATATTCCCAAAATCCCACTTGGGATACTTGTTAAAAGCAAGATTTCTGAGACCTGGCCCAGATTTACTGAATCTGAATTATAGGAGAGCTATCAAGCTTGTTTTTAATAAGCATCCAGATCATTCTTACCATCGGGAAAGCTTGGGAAACCCCCGTTATAGGAGATTCAGAAATCAGTGGGATATCTCCAGTGGCCTTATCAATTGTTGCACTGAGGAGGACTGGTCCCTGGGACAGGAAATAGACATCCAAGATCCAGACTTGAAACTCTCAGCCTCCAAATGAGACTGAGAGGACATCCCTAAACCACAGACAGATTTGTAGAAGCCCCTGAATTTCTCGCTAGAGGTGCTTAGGGGTGCAATCTGCTTATAAGTAAGGGCAAAGGAACTTGTTTTGTAAGTTTATTGCATAGCAAAATGACTCTTTGTATTTGGTCACATGTTTAAGTGGCTGGCTTTGGAAGGGCAACGGAAATTACAGAGACTAAAGCCATCCCAAGCCAACATTTGGCACCCTCACTGCTACAGGAGTTGAGCCTTTCTCTCAAAATAGATTTTGACAAAAATAGTCTGAGTCTTTGTCCTTCTTAAAGAAAAGAAAAATGTAAGCCTTCCCCATGGACAGAATTCTGACTGGAAACATGAAGATGCCCCTGAGAGCAATAGCTTGAGAGGTTTATGGAATTTGATTATTTAGGATGGGGAGAATTTAACATGTGCATGGGTAGAAAGAAAAAAAAGTTGAGGGAGCAAAATGTTTTAGCTGTAAAAATGAGGGAAGGAATTTGGAGTAGACCAGAGGAACCAGGACAAAAGTCTGGAGGTCACCAGACTTACTACTATGAGCCAGGGGAGGAGGTAGAGAGCGAGAGAGGAATGTGGGCATATGAGTGATGTCAAGCTGCCCCTGGCTCTTCTTGACGTTTGAGCCTTTGCTCACTACTCTGTTTTCTGCTCATCATCTGAACCAATCCCAACTAAGAGAAGAAAAGTTTTAACAACCTTAGCCTCCAATCAGGGTGTCTGGAGCTATTTTCCAGGGTACAGTTCTGTTCTAAAGTGTGCCCAGGGAAAATACCGGATATCCAAATGACCACAAAGCTACCATCTTCCCTTAATCAGACTGACTAGCCAATCTCGTGTTCATCTCAGCTACTGCAAATGAGTAAGCAGTCATTTACATTTTGTCTGCCTTTCCTAGGAAACAATAGATCTGGCCAGGCAAGGGGCTAGAGTTGCCAGTACAGCTCCATTGGATCAGTATTGGCAATTGCTTTCAGGTATTCGGCACCCTAGGGCCAATGAACTTAATGAAGGAGGCAATCAACCTCCTCTTGTAGAGATTTCAGCTGCTCTATCATAGGGCCACATCGTTGAGGACATCCCTAGAGTGGAACAGTGCTTCTCATAGTGCTGTCCTGGGATCCAGTAGCATCAGTATCACCTGGGAACATGTTAGAAATGCAAATTCTTCAGCCCCATCTCAGACCCACTGAATTAATAATTCCGCAGGTAGGTCCCAGCAATGTATTAACAAAGCCTCCAGGTGATTCTGATGTGTGCTAAATTTTGCAAACCACCATCCTAATAAAAAGACCAGTTGCTGCCAGGTCCTCCTCTCTCTGGCCCTTCTCAGTAGCATCTTGAGGTAATGGCACCTGTGTCTAAGCTGGCTCACTTGCTTCTGCTCACTCGATTTATTCTCACTGGCTGTGTTTTCTCCTCTACTGGCCTCGTCCCTACATCAGCAGGTTTCTATGGAAGACCCTGAACTCCGTGTTTGTCTGGACTCCACCTCCTTCTAAAAATTCACTGCCTCAAACTATGATCTTGATGGTGACTATCAACACCACCTTTCTCATGCCTTTATTTCTTCATCCAAGGACGCTAATCCCCATAGAGTTCTATCTAACCCTGTCTAAGGGACAAAGTACGTCTTCCATTAAGAATTTTAAGGAAAATAAAGCAGCTAACCTTGAGTATTTTCTTTAAGCCACACATAGTTAAGAGTATTTTCCATATGTTGACTCAATTAATACTCGTACTAATCCTATTAAGTAGTATTCTGTAATTATTCTATTATTACATCTTACTTTATGGATAATATATCTCTCAGAGATAAAGCAACTTGCCCAAGGTCAGACAGGTAGCAAGTGACGAATCTAGAGCTTAAACCCAGGCAATCTGCTTCTAGCACTGGTCTGTTAACCACTTCTACTGTCTATGAATAGACAGATGTAGGTAGATGGCATGTCAATATGAAGACTGGGGTAAACCATCAGGGAACTCACCCTGGGTCATTCCAATTTTGTTACTTGAAGGAAGAAGTGAGAAGGTCTCCGAAACTGCTGTTCAATAGAAATACAACATGAGCCACAAATGTGAGGCATATATGTAATTTTAAATTCTCTAACAGCCACATTAAAATCACAAAATGAAACAGATAAAATTATAATTAAGCCCATCCTGTTAAAAACATAATTTCATAATTATATCACATATCAATTGTTACATTTACATGCCCTTTTTATGTTTTAGAAATTCATCATATATTTTGATAGTATATCTCCATTAAGACTAGCCACATTTCAAGTGCTCAGTGTCTGCCCTATTGGACAGTAGAACCACTGGTAGGATGAGTGAGAGTGAATTGATAATATACACAGAGATTAAGTATTTAAGGAGAAATATAAATTACCTGTTTGGTTTATCTTAGGTAGTCGGAAGGAACAAATACCAGGACTGACAAGCAGAAGCCCGATCTATATTAAAATAAGACAATGTAAATGTATACAAGTGTATATGTGTATATTTATATATGTAACGTATGTATACCCTCACACAAATATGTTGGGTGCATGCAGATATGCATTCATGATTGGTAAGCCAGAAACTGGTATCATTTGATATCAATAGGATTAACATCTTCCTCACAGAATACTTAAGCTACTCAGAATAGAATATAGTCTTTGTGTGGGAATTAGCTCCTGGTTGTCTTCCATCTGTCCATCCCTTGTCTAATTTTCAGTCAAGTAGTCTCCTCATATCCAGTCTTCTTTCCAGTCTAGTACTGCAGACCCCTTTGAGACTTTCCCCTTTCTCTTTACTCTGTTGAATATCTCGTCAAATTCAGACACCCACTGGTTAACACAGTGATCACAGACTCAATTTGGCACTGCCCTTGACCTTTCCACACCCACACCTTTCTCTCAGCCAGTTTTATTACTAACATGAAACCATGTCCTATAGAAGGACACCAGAGATTTTTCCCATTAAGTACCTACCATTCAACATGGCATCCTTGTCTTCATTTAATTCCCCCCCCTTCAATGAAATTTTGTCATCTCTTTAGTAGTGAATATTCAGTAAGATCCAGGATCCAGAGGATTGTTTAATTGCCATTTAGGTTAAGAATCACAGAGCAATTTACCTGGGGGCCAGACTGGAAGCTGGGAGTTAGAAGGGGAAAGCAAAATAGCTGAAAAAAATGTATAGCTATAAATATATTTTTAAACTATGTAGCAATATAATAGCTATGAAATTGAATCTTCTTCCCTAGGGTAAGTAAGTAACACAGTATCATAGGCCTTGGCAGGCAGAATAACCCCCTTTTCCAAGCTGGAAGATATCATCGTTTCATCAAAAACATAAGATCCTTTCATTTTCCCCACTACAGTGAGCGCTTCAATTTCAAAGGCCACTCGCTGTTTCTGATCTGTTATCAGTCAGGCAGACTCAACACACATAGAGAAAGCCACTTTAGTAGAAGCTGCTGCCTCCTTTATCACAAATGCAGACTTAAGGACCTTATCCTGCTAAAACTGTACGGCACAACGAAAAAAGGCGGAAGTGGGGGCAGAGGGACGCCAACTTCATGATGGGAAGTTGCAGTCTATCCAGAGGAGCAGAGATGTCAAACATAGCTGAAATACGGAAAGTCACCTAATGTGGCTGATAAATCCCTTTGTTTCTGAGCCAATTTCACTCCCAATATTGGGTATTTCCAAAACAAAAATACCAGGATACTGTTGGGCAGGTAAAAATATGACATTGCAACTAAGAAGATATGTTAATATGTTCAATGACCTAATACATGTCAGGACGGTGCTATCTTTTTTTTTCTTTTTAATTCTTTTTAAAATACAGCAAACCTCATAATCCCCTCAGCATGAGGAAAAAGAGGCTCAGAGAAGTTACACATGGTAAACTCTTAAATGAACTGTGATTCAAACCCCTGCTTCTCCCACCCTGAAGCCGAGGCTTTTTCTTTCATTTTCATTGTTTGTTTTCATCTCCTTTTCCTATAGCACCCTGCCTCCATAGAAACAGGAGGAGGCTTGGGTGTGTGTTGGTCTGTGGACTGGTTTAGCCAGAAGGACAAGCCCAACCACACAAACATTTGTTTTCACTTTGTCCATTCTGTGTACATCATAATTGTGCACCCCTCAAAAAAATGTTAGGTTAAATAAACACAAGACACATAAAAACATTTCTGCCTCATCCCCACAACATAAATCAGATTTGCCAAATGTTGTTACATTTGCTAAATTGGTGGCTTACCAGTCTTAAACTACTAATTTACTCACATGCTTAATTTCAATGGAACCACAGTGTAATGTTCTTCAGATGATTTTTTTTTCAGGGGCACTTATATCACTCATCCATATTATTCATTTATTCAACAAAGGACAATTAGATCAAGGACAAAAAGGCAAAGGAAGGTTGGAATGGAAAAACAATTGGAATCAAGTCAAACCAACCATATACTCAGTCCAACAATAAATGTAGTTTCCCAGCTAGTTTTATTTCAGACTTCTATCACTTCTCCATGTTTCCTTGTGTTTTATAATGAAACGCATATTTGGTCTTATTCCCCATTTCCTCACTTAAGCATCCAAAATCCTTAGAATTCCCAAGAGATAAGAGTATCTTTTGTTAGCCAGATGTGGTGGCTGCTTGCCTGAAGTCCCAGCTACTCAGGAGGCTAAGGCAGGAGGATCACTTGAGTCTAGGAGGTGGAGGCTGCAGTGAGCCATGATCATGCCACTGTGCTCCAGCCTGGGTGACACAGTATCCTATCTAGGAAAAAAAAACAAGTATTTTTTGTATCCTAATGAGATGACTGGTGGCTGGGAGCCCCTAGATTACCTCAGGATGGGGGCTGGTTACCAAGGCAACAACCATGACTTTAAAGGATTGAAACTTTCAGTCCTACTCCCCTCAGGGGGCTTCCACTTTGGCGAGCAAGAACTCATCCACATGTGAGGAGGGAGGTGCACCCCAATTCCGTAAGGACAGAAGTTTCTGTACTCAGGGACCTACTAGACTTTGCACCTCTCTCTCTCTCTTTATCTGGCTATTTGTTTGTATCCTTTAAATTATCCTTTATAATAAATAGGCAAACATAAGTAAAAGTGTTTTCCTGAGTTCTGCGAGCTGCTTTAGCAAATTAATGAAACCGGAGAAGGGGCCATAGAAACCCCAATTTATAGCCATTTAGCCAGAAGTTCCTGAAGCCCAGACTTGTGACTGGCTCCTAAAGTGGGGAGCTGTCCTGTGGGACTGGGCCCTCAACCTGTGAGATCTGATGCTACCTCCAAGTGGATACTGCCGGAATCTAATTGAATCAGAACACAGCCAGCTGGTGTCTGCTGCAGAACTGATTGCTTGCTTGGTGGTATGTGCGGAAAAGCCCCACACACTTGGTCACAGAAGTGTTCTGTGTTGTAAGAGTACAGAAAAAAAAAAAAGGTATTTTTTTATTCATCTAGCATGAAATTTTTGTGAATGAACTTACTTTAGTGAGCTTCTTATTATAAAAATAGCACATACTATAGAAATATAAACTCACTAGATTCTGTGTATCATGTTTGGTGTGGATTTTTCACACTTTTTCCACATGCTATACAAACATTTATAATTTTAAAGGTTTTCCTCCTTTTTGTAAAAAACACTATATACTAATCAATAATTTATATTTTTTTCACTTAAAATATATCCTGCATACCCCTCCAGATCAGTACATTTAGGTTGACTTATCTTCTAAGTAGTTGTATCATTATATCAAAATATGTTTATTTCTCTAGAGATGAACATTTTGGATATTTTCAAGTTTTTGGTGAATGCTTTACTATAATGTATACTATTACAACAAACTTACTTGTACACGTATTCTTATGTAGAGGTAGTTGGGGGCTATACCTTATTGTGATCTAGCCCTCAAAACAGCAATTAACTCAGGGGCTATACACATTTCTTATTAACAATATTGTTGTTGTTATTATTTAGAGATTGTCTCACTTGATCACCCGGGCTAGAGTGCAGTGCTGTGATCATAGCTCACTACAGCCCGGAACTCCTGGGCTCAAGTGATCCTCGCACCTCAGCCTCCTAAGTAGCTAGGACTATAGACGTTCACCAGCTAACAAGCCCAGCTAATATTTTTTCTTTTTAATACAGACAGGGTCTCACCATGTTGCCCAGGCTTAACAATATTATTGAGTCACAGACCTTAAGTGTGCAATTTGACCAGTTTTAACAAATACATAGACCTACACAACTGATACCCATAACAAGATATGGAACATTTCCACCATCCAGAAAGTCCTCTCCTGCCTATTTCTAGTCAAACAAGTCCCCAAGCTATAGATCAGCCACAAATCTAATTTTGCCTGCATTATGATTTCTGACAAATTATAAAGTTTACATCCTTTTGTGTTTGACTTATTTTATTCAGTGTAATAGTGATAATTTATCCATTGTATCACACAGATATACCACAATATTCATTTCTTTTTAACTGTATGAATATTCCACAATATATTCAACTATACTTCTAGTGATGAACATTCAAATTATTTCTGGTATGTTTTATTACAATAAAAAATGTTACAAGAAACTTCCTTGCACTTATGTCCTTAGGTACCAGCACTTGTTTCACCACAGGATGTAGCCCCTTAAACAGCATTTTTTAGTTTTTAAAATTTTCAATTTTTTAGATGCTGCCAGTTACTTTCTCATTCAATGACAGCAATTCATACTCTCACCAAACCATTTCCCCACACTTTATTCAATCTAAAAAAAACTCTTTGTGTATCAGGGGTATTAACTCTTTTTTTTTTTTTTTTTTTTGGGGGGGGTTTTCCTTTTTTTTCCCAAATTTGGGGGAAATGGCGCAATCTCAGCTCACCGCAACCTCCGCCTCCTGGATTCAGG